AGGGAAAGATATAGGCAAACAAAGTTAGATAACTAACTAAGGATGGGTTAGAAAGATAGGTTTAAAGGAAGGATGAGTTAGGTTTAAATTTAAAATGAGAGATGTGTCAATTTTCTAATTTTCTGCTCACATTCTCATTTTTCTTTTATGAAGAACCAGGAGGAGATCATTTAGGAAGCCCACGTTCTTCATTTGTTGATAAAGATAAAGGAGGAGTGAGAATTCTCACTCTACGACGTGATGTAATTGATGGGTAATGAGGTTGAGTCTGACCTCTGTATGTTGTATGAAGGAGAAAATCTCAATTGTTTTATGTTCTTGTTGATTGTCTTCCACGTGATTCTATTACTCCTGAGCTATTATAAATTGTGTTTATATATAACTAATTTTGTGCATTGAGCTCCTTTTGGTATGAATTGGGTTGTTGTGAGTTTATGCAGAAATCCTAAGGTCATGCATGAATGGTTATTATGTGAGTAATTAATAAAGTTATGTAATTGTATGAAACTTGTGTCTTATGGATGTATTGTATGAACAAATTATAGTGTTTTACTAATTGAACTATTTCATGCGAGTTTTGGTTCGCAAATCGCATGTTTTGAAATTTTGCAAGTCTGGGTGTTCTGATATAGTGCTAGGTGCCTTTTGCGTCTCGCTGGGTGCTGGGTTGCATGAGAGCAGGGTTCACTCCCTATTCTGTCTGCTTGGGGTGTGGGACATGCCTCGTTGGGTGTTATTGAGGTTGCGAGTCTTTGTGATACTCACATTAGGTGTGGGTTAAGACTCGTCGAGCGTGGGGCTCAAAGGGAGTCCCTACTGTTACATCGTTGGGCGTGACATGGGTCATGCTGGTGTGAGTGATCCCAAGAGTTATGAGTGCTCTTTGAATGAGTTGCATCGAGTATGAATGGATTTCATCGGACGTTGACTATATATGGAATTTGTTTAAGTACATGAGCTGACGATATTGTTGAGTAATTTGAATGTTAATGAGTGTGAATTGTGAGATAAATATGTATGTTTGAGAAATTATTTGAATGAGATACTTGATTCTTGTTGGCAAATTGTACATATGGTAAAACATATGTATTGTTGATAACAATTGTGAGCATGACAAGTCGTATGTGTGGCAAATCGTTGAATGACAAATCATTGAGTACGTGTGTATATATATAGTGATTTCATGATAAGAAAGAGTTTGTATGACGTGCATGATATGCATACAAATCGAAAAATTGTTTCATATGCATTGTGCTTATATTGAGATTGACACCATATGCATGCAAATCAAGAGTCTGCGTCCATTGCATCCTATATTCGCATGTGACTAAGTGACTTACGATTGTTGTGATGTTAATAAGTGACTGTGTTGGTAGTGATGATTGAATGATTGTGATAATTAATTGTCATTATCATGCTATTGTATAAATAATGTATGGAGTGTGTTTGACTATCTATTTCTTATTTCATGCAATGAGCTAGAGTGAGGAGTTTTCTCACTCCCATTGTTTTTATGTCTTGGTTATACGCATGTTGTTGCAGGTAATGTTCTTTAGGATCTTGATGATGTTGATGATGATGCATAATCTTTGTCTTGAAAATGTTTTGTTAGGATGTGTGACATTGAAGCTTAAATTAGGATTATTCTTATTTAATTTCTAACTACAAAATTTATGCTTAGTGTTATATTTTCGCATTAGTATGTTGTTTTGCAACTTGTTATCTAAGACTCTTTACCCTATATTATTGGTTTCACTTTGACTATTTATGCATGAGTTTGAAGTATCTTTATTTTTATTTTTTATCAAGTGAGTTTAGAACACCTTTATATATGCATTAGGAAGATTTAAATGTTTTAAATTTATCTGCATATGCGAGTAGAGGGTATCACACAACTACAATTTAACTATTGAATCTTGAATTAATATCTTGATTGATTCGGTGTTAAAAACATTACTAAAATGTAAATATTAAAAACATAATTAAGCTAACCTAGTAAAATTGGTCTAATAATGAATAATTTTCACAAAATTTTAGAATTTAACTAATTTTATATTTAAATTAGAAAATTAATTTGGATTGACATAAATAATAAGGGGTTCGTGTTGTTTAATCAAAGTGTCTAAAATTTGAATATTGCCCTTTATCAATGCAGAAAATTCAAATTAAAAAAAAATACCCCACCTATTATTCCTGTGTTTAATAAAGAATACTCATTAGTAATAAAAAAATCAATTTGGAAAAGAAAAGGCTACAAAGAAGATAACTAAATGCAGAATAACTGTTAAGATAATCTATTTCAACTAGTTGACCACTACGCATGAATCATCGTAAAATTCATGGTAGCTATTGAGTTCGATAAAAATATAAAAAACTAAATGGCCAGAGTAAAAAAACTACTGGTGCATCTTTATACAAACTTGATTTATATATATTTTAACACTAACAATATCTTTCAACTAATAATTAAGAGGCTGATTCACTTTAAAGAATTCACTTAAAATGAATTTTGTCTCATTGAATAAAATATATACGTTAGGAAATCAAAGTCCTGTCGAATAATACCAATTTTGGTGAATGTTTTTAATTAACTTCATTTATATTGTCATGCGTTTGAAGACCGTAACTCACAAGTCAATCTTATAAGCAACTATAAAAATAAGGAGTCAAAAACCAAAAAACAAACTCTACACGAAGAGAAGACAACGATAGGATTATGCCTGTCAAGAACCAATTATCTACCGTTTCTATAGTACGCTATTCTTTTTGTCTACAATTATAAATATTTACTTAAAAGAAACATTTTGAAATTGATAGGCATATACTTTGGTGTCAGAAATATTTTAATCATCAGTATATATATTATTTTTCAAACAATATTCCTTGAACATTTTCAATGTGATAAAACTATCTTTGTGAGTAGATTTTTTTTTTGGGTGTAAACTCTTATATTATAAATTAACATGTGCAACTTGTTATCTGTCATTTTTCAGATGTACATTTTACTAATTGCCCTCTCAATTAATTAAAAAGATTTAATGAATTATGTTAAAAGTTTCAGTAGTTAAAAATAACTGCCATAACAAGTAAATTAACTTATACAATTTGTTTTAGCTTAATAATAATTGAATATAGATGTTGTATAAGCATGGTACCCAACTGAGAATAGTTTAGTTTCTTTGGCAAGAACACTTATAGTTTCATAAAAATAATCTTTATCATAAAAAATTTTGATTTCATAAAAATAAACATTTACCTTATTAAGATACCTTTGGATTTTAGCCTACAAAGGAAAAAATTTAAAGAGCCAGCAGGAACATATGCTTTTTATAATTAAATCGCAGAGGCAGCGTTTTTCCTGGCCCACACACTGACGATAAAAAAAAATATTAAAAGCAGAAAATGGAAAAAAGAAAAGAAAGAAAAAAGGCATTAAACCAAACCGAAGATAACCGCTACAAGAATGAAAATCTGCGTGTGTTTCCGCGAAGAGAGGTTTTGGAAGAAGAGCAGAGAAGATTAGTGAAGTGAAGTGGTGCTGCGTGCGGAACTGAAAATTCGAAGCTCCGAACGGAAACGAAAGCACTTTCCGCGTGTTCGCTCTGTTCCGATGGCTTCCAGATCCGGCGGCAAAATTATCCGAACGCGCCGAACCGCCGCCGCGAGGAGTCGCACGCCCTACGACCGACCTCCGCCGCCGCCGGAGCCTCCGAGCCCTAACTGGCTCTCGCGTTTCGTTGTCTCTCCGACGCGTTTCATTGCTTCTGGCGCGGGGAAGCTCCTCTATTCTGTTTTGGATCTCGATTCTTCACCTACTTCTTCTTCCTCCGTTACTTCTTCGCCTTCCTCTTCCGCTAACGGTTCCGATGCTGGTAATGACTGTTATTTTGTCGCCTTTTTACTGCTGTACTTGCATTGCTAGGGTTTCTGTCCTTTTTGGTTTTAATTTCGTTAGTATAGGGATTTTGTTTTATTTTGACTGTGTGGAGTGGAGTGAGTGAGTGGCAGAGATTGTGTACGCTGACTTTGGTTGCAGGTGATTCAGGTTTGGTAGATCTAGAAGTTGAGGTAGGTGGTGCCTTGTAATTATGACTGTTTTGAAGTGCTTAATTGGATTTGAAAATTTGACGAAGTTGCGCGAGTGTGTTAGGTGTTTTATATATAGCTTAGTGTGGGTTGTGGTCGTGCTATGTTGAAAAAACAAAGTATGTATGTCTTTTGCTGCTGTGCTGTCCCCTACTGAAAGGTGTGCTTGCTGTGTAACTTTGCAGAGGAAGGTGGTACTTTCGATATGGATAATGATAATCCTTTGGAAGGTGATGTTGCGTTGAGCAAGGTAGTTGACTCTCTGTTATGTTGTCCTGTGCTTGAGATTTAGGTCTTGTTTTGTTTATTCTAGAAATTTGTTATTTTAAATATATTTTTTTTTTGTGGTTTCTGATGCATATATGTATATATAAAATAGGAATTATGAATGTTTGCTTTCCCTTTTTTTTTTTTTTTGGGAAATTGAAGTGCTTTTACTTATTATTCGTGCATGGTGACATATTATGTTGCATAGACATGGCACTCTTCTTCATATTTCCTCTTTAGCCACCTTGTTTTTCCCACTGACTTATGTTCATTTGGTGATTTTTGAAGACTTAACTCCTTCAAGTCTGTCTCATCTGGAAAAAAAATGATTGATAATCTGGAGAATTAAATTATTATTTGACAGTACTATAGATTATGTTTCCATTTGGTTAGAGGCAGTCTTAGTTGATGGTTTCTTGTCGTCATGAATCCCCTGGTTTCATCTAATATAGTATTGCACTACTGCTCATTTGATATTGACATTTGTGATGAAAGGGTAGGACATCACAACTGATAATTTTTTTCTGTTAAGGGGCTCCCGCCATCTGATGGGAATAACAAAAACAAGCATATCATCGAGCAGCTACTTAGGAAGGAGTCATTCTCAAGGTACTTGAAGAATTTATATTAATATAAGTTTAACACGTGGATATTTCTTTTTATTGTTTATTACTTTTTTCACCCTCGTGTTAGCATATAAAAAACATTATATCTATGCATTATCTATTTTTTTCCTCATAGGGTTGACTTTAAAATTAGCAGTAATATTAGCCTCTAATATAATTCTATTACATATTTAACTACATGTGTTCCATCCAGAATCCCTGATGCTATTAATCACTTTTTGAATTTATAGCAAAGTTTGACTTAAAAATTTCCTCCACTTATATACAATCTTGGTGATTTTAACTGAAATAAATTTTGGAGTTTTCAAAAAATAAGCATTAGCGGGTGCAGTGCAAAGTTATAACCAATTCAATCAATGATGGATTTGCTCCTCTATAGTATTAGTGAGGAATACATTTTAGAGGGTGCAGTATAAAGTTATAACTGATTCAATCAATGGTTGAGATTGTGATAAAATAAATGCACATGTATAACAAAATATAAAGTTGTTAAAATCTCAACTTTTTTTTTTTTTTTTCATTCATGAGATATATGACACTTTGTCTTATAAAGTACATCCGTTTTGTTAGAAGAGCCAAATATATCAATGATCTGTACTAAAATTTGCAGACCTTGAGCTTTACATATGTATTGTATTAACTATTGAGAGTGGAGCTGCATTTATGGATGCATAAACTGTTTCCTCTACTTGTTCGGAGTAATATTCTAACAGAGCTTAACATTTGATCAGGGAAGAATGTGATAGGTTGATTAACATAATAAGATCTAGAGTTGTAGATCCTTCAAATGATGATGATGATGGGGATAAGAGACCTATGTATATGCTCAACAGGACTCTTGGAAGTGGTATACTCTACATAGAAAACTCATTTTTAACAGATTACTGTTACCTGGCCATGGATTTTTAATTATTTCTTAGATACAGATTCTCCTGATCTCCATAGTACTGCTATTATGGAGGCAAAGAAATGGCTGCAGGAAAAGAAGTCAGAATTAGATACAAATTCAGACATAGGTTATGGAAGTCCTAGTTTGAATTTGGTAGCATTACCACAGGTTAATGATGCTCTCTCTCTCTCTCTCTCTCTCTTTCTCTCTCTCTGTGTGTGTCTGTGGAAAAATAAATATTGATATTTGTACATGCTATCTCCTTCCCCTTTTCTCTTCATATAATGTATATCATAGTTATATGATTTTGCATTAATTGTTTGTTTTTTACCTGTATTCCTGGTTGATATGCAGGCTCCCAAAGATGAGGGCTCACCGGTGGATGTGGCCAAGTCATATATGCGCTCACGTCCTCCATGGGCATCACCCTCCATAGACCATACTAGACCTCGGACACCATCTGGAATTCAGCTCTTCAAAGAAGAAACACCATATCTATTTGGCAACAATTCTACGTCGTCCTCCAAGGTAGTGTTATTTTATGGAAATCACATATATATCTTATTATTATAATAATAATTATTTATTTATTTTTTATTAACTAATTTTGTCTTCAAACTGGGTTTTGTACCAATGTTATATGCTTTACTGGATATTTTATTTAGACAATTGAATCCTACATTTTTAGCAGACATTGCTGGCATGGGGTTTCGTTGAACCAGAAAAATTATTATTACTAAAATTCATGATCTGAAAATTTTGAAAACTAATAGAGATACAGAGTATAAGACAATTGAGCAAGAAATAGATAAAAGTGTCTTTTTTTTTTTTTTTTTTTAATTTTCAGGATAATTACGCTTCATTTTGTTTGGCTATCTCTAGAAAATGTGAAAACTGAACTAAAAAAGAAAATTATGTTTGAAGGAGTATTAGGTGTGTAAATTGAGTTGAAAAGGTAAAAAAATTTAGGGTTAATTTCACTATAGTTATTTTGCAATATAATTTCCTGGTATATTTTTTAGGTATGGCAAGGGGATAGATTTTATGGGCCCCATCTCTCTTGGAAGTCCTAATTTCACCTTTCTCACGCCCATCCTCTAATTTTGATTCCCCCTGCACATGCATGCTCTTGCTTGTGCTTGGTATTCCTTCTTATAAGTTGCAGCTTTAGTATAGTTAGGTTGTTGAATGAATCTAAGTTGATGCCGCAAAGCTATAGATATTTCTTAGAAAAGGTAGTAAATGGCCCTTGATATTGGTATTCATCTTGCATTAGCAAGATTTCTTTTTTCGGAGTTTTTTTTCTTCTTTTTCTTCTTTTTGTGTTTGGAAAATAGGTTGGCATGGGAGGAAGAGATCAGTAGGTTAGGAAAAGAAGATGATGGAAATGCCAAATTGATGCTTAAAATGTTTGCTTGTATGATAAAAAGTTCCACAACTAGTTAGATAAGGGATAGGGAAGGGTTCCTCGGAAGGTTGAGAGCTAAAAAGGTTTCCTATATATTAGCATTAAATTGCTAAAATTAGCTGGCAATTGTTCTGTGAAACGGAAAAAGGTGACCTAAAATCCAGTATGTGATAGTTAATCAATGATATGGGGCTTGTGGTGTACCTCATGTAATTAGTCCAATCCATCAGCCTGCCTCAAAGTAGATGAAGCATTGCAAGTTCTTGATGAGTACTATTGCGAAAAAAAAAAGAGTTGTATATCAAGCTACTGAGTACTGAATGAGATCCTAATAGTGCATGTAGAAATTAAAAAAGAAAATATTTTTGAATTTCACGCAATTCTTCAACTTTGGAAAACAACCTTAGTATAACATTTGTTCTAAAAAATCTGTGATTGATACCTAGTAAAAGGCAGAGGGTTTTTGTTTTCTTTTACAACAGTTAGCTGCCTTGACTATTATGGTAATACAAATGTTGTACCTTGGTAGAATTATGTGATGTACCTTGGTAGAATTTCTCATGTTATGGAATATCATTTGTTAAGGAATTTGCATGAATTACTTCAATCAGTCATAGCTGGGTTGTCATTTAGGTTGAATGAGTTATTGTATTCAAATGCTGTTAATGGATTTTTTATTTGGGCTGATTCTGCAATGCAGTTGAAAAGGGATTCTTCTGCTACTGGTTCATGGAGTATTCAGGATGAAATACGAAGAGTAAGATCCAGGGCAACAGAGGATTTGCTTAGGACACTTCCCTCCTCAAAAATTGATTGGTCTGCATTTGCTGTGGAGAATAAAAATAATGTAAACTCTTCAGCTATTGAAACTATTGGAGAGAGAGTACATAATTCTACAAATTTAGTAGATGCATCTGCGAACTTGGCCGGAGGATTAGGTTCTCAGGTCTCTCCAGGTATGATTCTGCTGCTGTAGGAAGCCTGTTGATTTTCTTGTAATAAATTGTTTTAATGGTAAAACATTTTTTTTTCCTAGAACCTCTTGGTGATTTATTCTTTTAACTTCATTTCCCTTCAGATTTGGAGAGTAAGTTGGATGGGTTCCAACCTGAATCTGTGCTGTCAGATCCAGTTAATATTAATTTTGAACAGAATCAGGTGCTCATTTGAACTGGAGTTTATATAACAACCCCCCTTTCTTGTAATACATTTGAGATTTGTTAATGATCAACCCTATTTTATGTCTAACACGATTCTTTTTTCTTCCTTTTCTAAGGGATCTGATGTTCAGCAGACCAAAGGTAATATCACTGCTGACTATGACAATATACCTAATATGTTAGTCAAATATGTTTTAAAAACAAAACCATTTATTAATTATCAATGCTTTTGCATTTGAGATATTCAGGAGAATTATAATTGGGCAAGTTCACTAATTGTTATTATTTTAGAGCTGAGAAATATGACTTAACTAGTTACATCGTGTATAAATCCATTTTTTGTTGTGTTGGTTTGACCTGACTAGCAGATAAAGTTGTTTTTCACGTATTTTACAATAGTCTTATATTATTCCCTCCATCTCTCGGTAGAAGTTTTACTTTGCTTATGAAAATCCATGCCACATAGGTACACAAGATGATGACAACAGAGAAAGAACTACTTCAGGACTAAGAGATGGGTCCTTGAATGATATCCACAGGTTAGAGTATATCATGTTTTCATTTCTTTTCAATAAAGTTGTGCAGGTTTATTTTGTCAGATTAACTGTTTTCTCATTTACTTTCTGATATTAGCTTTTTTTTTTTTTCCCTTTCCGCCCCATCTTTATCATATACAATGCATTTAAGGTCCTTAATACTCTTAAATTTGATCCGTTTTTTCTGACATTTTCCTTTGGCTGATATTTGGAATTTTTAACTTTCCTGTATCACAAAAAATTCCTTTTGTTCTACACTGTGGAATTGATGACTCTCCGGACTAAAGGTCTTTGAAGTTCCCAGTTTTTTATTATTGTCATTGACATTGGACATTTGGACTTGATTATGGGTGACAAACAGAAAATATCTACTACTCTAGACACCATGATGTGCAAGACTGACAATAACTGTTTCAAATTATGTTTTGAGTTGAATCTTGGCAATGTCTTATGATTTACCAAGAGTCCCAAGTGCCAAGATCTTGTCTGGCTTTTTGAATGAATCCTGTCCCTGCATATTATTTGTCTTCTAATTTTAACATTTTTCTTAATGTAATAGGGATGGCAGTCTGGTTAGAGTCAATGGCACCAATGACAGAAATGGGTCAGGTCATCAGCCTGACTCAGTTGAAGAAACTAGAGAAGGTATAACTCAGTCCCTTTGGCTGGCTTATGATTAGATAACATACTTGGTGGCTGCAATGTACTATTTGCAACTTGTATAGTCACTCTTCTTAAGAATGATATGTGAGATGCTATAGTGTTTAGCAGTGCACCATGGGCCATTTCACAATGCTAAGTGTTAGTTTTGCAACCTTGAAATCAGCACTATCTTCGCATAGCAATAGTATCTGCTAGTGAAGCTAAGAGAAAATTGTGCAATTCATGTGGCTTTGTGTTTGATCTGGCTAAAAATTGAGTAAACACAACCCCATAACCCCCATAAACTAGGGCTCTATCTGACTATTGGAGGCCTTTGACATTCCTCAATGCATTTGGATTGCTGATGGAGGCTCCTTGACCTCCATAAGTATTTCACTCAATGTTTTGTTGCAATGTGCAATGCATGCAGAGAAATTTCAGCCTTTTTTGTTTCTATACTTCGGGAATTCACGACTTATGTTTGGTCAAACAGAAAAATCTCCAAAATAGTGTACGATGCCTTGATTGTATGTTTTTATGCTGAGTTCCTAGTAACACTTACTATACACACACATATTATGCACCACATTTCAAAATAGATGTGTTTTCATATTTGCTGTGGATATTGCTGCAAGTGCAATATATGATTTTAAAAATTATATATGTAGTATAAACTTCCTGGAGTTTTGGTACTAGTTCTTTGTGTTCATTTTCTCTCTATTAGAAATTACACATAATTAAACTTTTATTCACTTATTATAATTTAGTTCAAGTCTGAGTTTTTGCTTTAGGTAGGTATTATCCATCACATTTTGCAAGCAGCATGATTGGATCCAATTTTAATGTTTCTTGGTTAAATATTATACATGACGTGTTTACATAGATACAGGACATTGTATGTATTGGTAGATTTATGGTGTTTTCTCCTTGTTTGGTTATGATAAATTTCTCCCTTGTGCTTTAGAGTTTAAATATTTTCTCTGTATTTTCAATGTTAGTTTTCATCTTGTATGCTGGTCCTTCCTTTGAATGCAGCTATAAATTCTAGATTACAAGATAGTAACCACTTAGTAATCAAAGAGAAGACTGGAGCGGAAGATGCATTGGCAAATGGGTTCCCCGCTTCCGGCCCCAGGTAAATTTATGGTTCACTGACTTGCCTTTGATGTTGAACGTTCTCAATGTAGAACCGATTTATAAATAACCTCGGTGCCTTTTACTTTTTGTTAATCGGTGAGTGTAAAATTGTGGATTAAATTTTACATTTATTGTCATCAAAGTACTATGGTCATCACTCATTCCCTAAAAAGCCATGATTCTCTGTTGGTAACCTTACTTCCTCAATTGCCAAATTTGGAATGAATAATTTTTAATTGACTTGAAATATGTGGGAAAATCAACTGACCTTTTTGCCCACCTGTCTGGGAATGTAATACTGGCCTTGGTTTCTTTCCACTCTAGTTACCAAACTATTAAATTTAAATTAATTCTTCCATTTTTCCTGTTTGCTAGTATCTACGCAGGGCAGGTAATTGAAGAGAACACAAAAACATTGACCAATACAAATGATTCAAGTCAGGAAAGGACAGGTGAGGGTGTTGTTGAGCATGAGGCTTCTAAGACGTTGCGTGAATCAACGGAGGTGCCGGATGTTGTTGCAGACGATTCTGTTGGTTTGAAACAAGATGACGGTGTCCCCTCTGGCTCTCAGAACAGTTCCAGTGTGTATGAGGTTCAACCAGATAGTTCTCAGGCGGGTGCAGAGTCAGGCTTGCCAGCCACACCAACTAGCATTGCTAAGCAAAAGGGAAAAAGAATCACAACCCGATACAACAGAAGGGGCAGGAACAAGGGTGGGGTCAAATGATGCCCGTTGTATTTTGTATGTTAAATTGTAAGTTACTGTTAGCTTAGAAAGCAAAGTAGTAGGGGTTCTGCAGGCCATTTGTTGTGAGATTAATAATATTCACGTCAACTTAGACAGGTTTATTTTTCTTTCATCTGGGCTTTCTTGGGGTGATTACGTTCGGGAAAATTAGGCTCAGGAATTTGAATGTATTTTATGTATAAATGATTAAATTAGCGACATGATTTGTTTTTTCTTTTTCTGTCTTGGTCAACTAGTTTACATGGATTTATGGGACATGTACGAACTCGCGCAGCCTGAATGGTAACACTGGTTCTTACACTCAGGCAGCCTCAATGAATCTCCTTCAGTGAATCATAATGTTTTGCGACATTACAGTGCTCGAATTCTTGAGTTTGATGAAAGGTTTTTGTACGCATTGTTTGGCTTGACTGAAGGTAAGAGATATATAAGATTTAAATATGTTTTTAGTTCCTATAAAATTGATAATTTTGATTTTAGTCCTTCTAAAATATTTTCTTTATTTTTTATCCTTATAAAATTTATAAATATTATTTTTGGTCCTTATAAAATAATTAAATTTTGATTTTGATCCTATAAGATGTTTTTCTTTGATTTTCATTCTTCTAAAATTTAAATTAACTATTTTTAGTCTCTAATGATATTTTAAGGTGAATAAATAATATTTATTCTTTTTTGATAAAGATACGAAAGATTACAAAGATGGTCGCAATAAAGATTGAGTACCCCCATGTTTCTAAACTATTTTAATTCATCTTTATCTAACTACTAGGCTAAGGACTTATAAAGTTTTTTAGAGGTGTTAAATATCAATATGATAATATCATTGATGATTGTAAGTAATACTTAAGATGATTACTTGATTTTTTAATAAATAAAAAGTAGTTAGAAAATGATCATATAAAAATTGGGACTAAAAACAATAATTTTAATTTTATAAAGATGAAAAATAAAGATTTTTTTTAGAGAAACTAAAATCAAAATTTATTAATTTTATAAAAACTAAAAATATATTTAAATTTATATATAAATTACGAAAGTATAATCATAGAAGTCTAAAATGTAACATAGGTAATGAACAATGGTTTTTTTTTAAGGGGTAATGAACAAAATTTTAAAAAATGTTACATGTACACAAAAATTAAGCTCATTCGTAAATTATAAATTTAAATGCTAATTTATGAATCAGTTAACTTTTAAATTTTCTAATGGTTTCCATACAAAGTTCACGAGAATATATATATAAAAAAAATCATTTTTTGAATTTAAAATATTATTATTAATGCATTATTATCTTCAAATTTATTTTTAAAACATTATGTTTTATTTCAGAGTACAACAATCTATCAGTATATTAAATTAAAACAGATATCTCAGTATAATGGTTTTAGGTTTTATCGAGTTCTTTTAATTTTTTTCTTCAAGGTTTTTGCATAATATTTTATATTTCATTATGTATTATATATCTTTGCATTACACATGCTAGTATTATTTTAATTCATTAAAAGTACATAAAAAAAAAAACACAGATACTTAGCTGTTATCTCATATATTGATATTTATCAGGATAAAAAAAAAAAAAAAAGATTCGCACAGCCGGTGAAGAATAAGAAAATATTGTTAATTCAAATTTAAGTGTGTTGAAGGGTTTAGCAAAAGAGAGAGTGTAGCAGTGAAGAGAGAAGAAGAGCGGCCTCTCTGGTCCATTCCAACATGCAAGGCAAAGAAATGGAAGGCGTGTCTTCTTCTTCCTCATCGGCGATCGCCCAGAAAACGTGGGAGCTCGAGAACAGCATCATCCCCATGGACACTCCGGCCGCCACCGCCACCACCACCAACGCCGACGACTCCATCTTCTACTACGACGAGGCCGGCCAGAACGAGTTCCAGCGCGACAAGCCCTGGGCCAACGACCCCCACTACTTCAAGCGCGTCAAGATCTCCGCACTCGCGCTCCTCAAGATGGTGGTGCACGCGCGCTCCGGCGGCACCATCGAGGTCATGGGCCTCATGCAAGGGAAAACCGACGCCGACGCCATCATCGTCATGGACGCCTTCGCCCTCCCCGTCGAAGGCACCGAAACGCGCGTCAATGCGCAAGCCGATGCATACGAGTACATGGTCGATTATTCCCAGACCAATAAGCAGGTGAAACCCTAACCCTAACCCTAACCCTAACCCTTGTTTCGATTTTGCTTGGTTTTATTGAATTGGTTTTTGTAGGCTGGGCGGTTGGAGAATGTCGTGGGATGGTATCACTCTCATCCTGGATACGGGTGCTGGCTGTCGGGGATCGATGTTTCGACGCAGATGCTGAATCAGCAGTTTCAGGAGCCGTTTCTGGCTGTGGTTATTGACCCCACGAGGACTGTTTCTGCTGGGAAGGTTGAGATTGGAGCTTTCAGGACTTACCCTGAAGGGTATAAGCCTCCGGATGAGCCTATTTCTGAGTATCAGACTATTCCTCTCAATAAGATTGAGGATTTTGGTGTCCATTGTAAACAGGTCTTTCTTCTTTCTTTCGTCTTTTGCCCAATTGTGGATTGCCCCTTTTTTAATTTTATTTTTGTGGTTTTTCAGTATTATGCATTGGATATCACTTACTTCAAGTCCTCTCTTGATTCACACCTCTTGGATCTGCTGTGGAACAAGTATTGGGTGAATACACTCTCGTCTTCTCCTCTGTTGGGTAATGGAGACTATGTTGCTGGACAAATCTCTGATTTAGGTACTACTTTTGCTGTGGTGTGCTTTTGGTTCTGCCATTTGTTGTCGACATGAATGTGGATTAGGATGGTTCTGTATTTCTCTGATAAAATGTTGCATTGTTGTTACTGTTATGGTTTGAAAGTGTGAGTGTCTCAGTTGGGAAGTTTCTTTTTGCAGCTGAAAAGCTAGAACAAGCCGAGAATCAGTTGGCACACTCTCGCTTTGGGCCATTAATAGCGCCTGCACCTAGAAAGAAAGAGGTGAGTGACCGCTGCTCTACATGTCTACAGTATGTTCCTTCATTTATTAGATGTTCTGCATTGAGGTTTCCTTTGGATTATTGGAGTGTTTCACGACAGCTTAGCATTTTAATAATAAAATCTCTTATGGTTGTTTATCTGTCATCTAATCCATGCCGAATGGAAATTTTGATATGCATCTACTCATTAAAAATTTGAAGCCTGTTTCTAACGTTGAAGTGTGAGAATCCATGATCAGTATACCTCATTGTGTTTTCTCCATGAATGAGGTTAATTATAATACCTTTGTTTATGGCTTTGTAAAAATTTGCCATGTTTCCTTCATCAATGATGCCACTGTGCCATGTCATAAAATTAGGCCCTTAAGTTCAAACAAAATTCTCACCAAGATCTTAATAATGTGAATTGGCACTTACACTTACACTGAAGTGATTTACTGACAGGATTGTTCGTCAGGTTTCTAATATGTTGTAAAGTTGAATGATTTCCTAGGATATTTGTTGGAATGCTAATTCTTAAATATGCAGAGATCTATATGGAATGGCAGTATATGTGTCTTAGAAGAGCCTATAATTAGGAGAAGAGAGTTAGGGGTTTATGCCAGCTTGCATTTGAGTATTAAAGTAATGAATGCCATGAATTGATTGGCTAATTTGGCTCACTGGTTTCATAGCTCAATAGCTGTATGTAGGCTAAACCCTAAACCCTAAACTAGGAGATCTTATCTTCTTCCCTGATAAGCAAGTAACCTTATCTCCTCCTACAATCTTGGGATCTTTATCCTTATCTTTATCAAGTACAATTGTTATGATAGTAAGTGATCCCATGATATGTGACACCTCTTCTGTATGTTAATGATGTGTCCCTTTGCTGCCAGATTACCTTTGGCTTGCATGAATGCTGACTATGACAATCAGTGATCAAACGAACAACAGCCTTAAGGACTGTCAGTTACATTAGGATCATAGGTTACAATAATAATGCTCGGAAATCAGTCAATCATAAGGACTATCGGTAACATAGTGATCATTGGGTACACAGCCCCCCAGGGCCTTTTTGAGTAAGCATGCTGAGCCCCAGTTGTACAATAGTAATGTTCGGAAACTGGACTATCAGTAACTTAGTGATTGTAGGGTACACAAGAAAAGATCAGGACCTGGGTGTTGGAGATGATGATGGTTGAGCTTGTTAGATTAACTGCTTCTTTGGCATCTAAGGATTTTTTTTTTCTGTTGACGTTTTGTCTGCAAGAGGATTTTTCTAAACTCCATCACCCCCCCATATTCACTTTGTTGCAATTTTCCATCCCATATTTCATTTATTAAAGAAAATAGACTCATTATTGGTCTTAGTTCTAATCCTTATTTTTCCTATAAATTTGTTGTTTTCACAATTTAAAAAAAAAATCTATGGAAATATTGGATTTATGCATTTCTGAATGAGGTTGTTGCTGTTGGGACTCCATTTCTATTTGGCCAAGTTTAAACCCTAAACCCTAAAGAAAACAAAATCACAGTTGGTCTTGGTTCTAGTCTTTACTTGTCCCTTTAAATGTGTTGTTTTCGCAACAACAAAAAAAATCCTTGGAAATATTGGATAATGCATTTCCGAATGGGCTCCACAGGAACTGTTTCTATTTCGCCAAGTCATATATGTAAAGTGTACGTGGATTACTGGAGTACTCAAGTGTGGTTGGCACTTGATTTGTTTTTTTGCTGAATACTACTGAATTTTTGCTGATTTAATTTGTAATATTAGTTTCCCCATGACATCTCAGATTTACTTTGTCGATGTACTGTTCTATTGTTGCTAACTAACCTCTAGAAGTATGCATGTGTGCTCGTGCTCATGTACAGCATGAACAAAATGACAAAAATTATGTGAAATTTGATTAGTTTACATGTTGTTGGGCTATACATATGATTTCCCTATTTCCATGATGAATAGTTATTTCTTATTTGGGTCAATTCTCCTGTTATGTGTAAAATTTCAGCATATATTGTCCTTTTATATTGCTGAATATTGTGCCAATTTCGTGCACCCATACACATATATATATGGGTGCCATTGCCAAGTGGTATGTATATGTATATACCATAGTAGTCAATCCCGGATAGCGGCGCGGAGCGGCCGACCCTAAAACTGGGATAGCGGGATGACGCGGAGCGGGATAACCGCTATTTAAATATTAATTTATATATATTAAATAATTAATAATATATATATATATATATAAGCTAAAAAAACAAAAAAATAACTCTAAATTCATGCTTTAATCATTTTTAATAATAAAAGTTCATAGTATTCCACTTCCAAAAGATATCAATTTTTTCAGCAGTAGGCTTAAACTTTCTGATTGAATAACCCATTGATGGTGTGGAATTGGGACCAGTTCCAGCAACACCAAGCTCTGATTTTTTGGTTGATCAACATTTGGTTGGGCCATGGTTATGCTGATCACCAAAGAACAAAAACGCCCACAAAAAATAACCAAAAAAAGAGAAAGAAAAGGAAAAGAAAAAAGAAGGGAACAGGAAAAAAAAAAAAAAAAAAGGAAA